GAAAATCGGTTTAGTTGCGTTAAGGGCGTAGGAGTAAACTTTCAGGCCAATGATTTTGAAATGCATTCATTTTTTTTGAATCCTGAGAAAACTAATAAATATTTTTGAAAAATTGAAATGCAGAATGAAAGATTACATTATTACCGAGGGCCAAAAGCCCCTTAGAATAAACAAAAAGTTTTTTGAATGAGATATTTGGAATTAAAAATCACACTAAATTTTTTCTCTTTTTTTTTTTCATCCCTGTAACTTATTAAAATAAACATAATAGAAGTTTTCAGCAACTTTCGGCCCTCGGTAATAATATATTGTTTCATTTTGCGTTTAAATTTTTCAAAAATATTTATTAAATTTCTCAGGATTGCGTTTATTAAAAATGAATGCGTTTAAAAGCATTGGCCCGAAATTTTGCGCCTACGCTCTTAACGATAAAAACGTTCACGAGTTACAATGACCCACCTCTACTACTCGTTACCCTACTTTGATTCGGTGCTTTTACCAGACAGATGTTGCCAAATAATTATGTATGAAATTTTTTTAATGTGGCATTATTGTATGCAGTTTATTATTTCATATTGGGAATAAGGCACAATGTGACTTTAAAATAAGCTTATTTTGATGTTTAGATTTTTAATTCGGAAATCGTACTTGGAATACGAAACATTAATAAATTTTATTTATATAAAACGATTTCCGAAGTGGAAATCAAAATGTTATATTACACTTATTGGAAAGTAAACTTGTGGCATATTCCCAATAAAAAACAGTAAGCTGCCATTCAAATCCATTTCGCAAAATTTGATCTTAGAAAATTGTTCAAATGCTAAAAAGACAACAGGTCAAATAAAACCAATAAGTTTGGCAACGTTGAACTTCCCCTTTTTTATTATATTCACGCATGCATGTTCGGCGATATAAATGGCAGACCTAATATACCTCTCTCTTTTTAACAGATTTTTCTCACTCCATCTCACGTAAGGTACATACCGAGCATAAACTTTTACCTATACTGTATATGTAAAACAATATTACCAAATATAATCTAATATTATTGTTTAATACATTGTGTTTACCTATATTGAGCAATTTGATTATTTTTTGGAACGCCACTGCTTTGAGTTATTCGCACATGTTTCGAGTTATTCAACTCTCAACAGAAACACTTGTACCTGTTTAAATTAAAATGAAATGACCTATATAGAAAGCAACAAGTCCTTTCAGACGAGGATACTGTATCTGAGATACTGTATGCGAGATACAGAATTTGTGTCTGAAAGCGTTCATTTAACGTAATGTTTCTTCTGTATCTGGCATACTCATTCGTTATCTCGCATACTGTATCACTCGCGCATCCCGTGTGAAAAGCTCCATTTGAGTCTACGTAATATCTGCGTCTCGGATACGCGTATCTCGGATACAGTATCCTCGTCTAAAAGGGGATTACTGAAAGCGATTGGACGATGCTAGGAATGCACATTTATTCCGACAATACATCTACTGTTCATCGTTTTCATTGTAACGTCTTTTTCTCTATGTAAAGAGTGCAAAAGCTACTGTTTTAAACGGTGAACTGTAGGAAATCTGAAAAATTAGTTTAACAGATCCTCATCTCTTTTTCGAGATGCGTCAACAAAATTAGTATAGCCAAGTTGGAAGCCAATGCTCGATAATCGATGATGGCACAGAAATAAGACAGTTTACTGTAGTTGGTTACTAAAGGAAAACTGTTTGATAAGTGAAGCCCAGGAACACGACGTATTTTCTAGCTTCTTAACATAGAAACTTTATTCAAAATTCGAAGAAAGGGAAATAAAGACAAAAAATATTCTGGCTTAAGAACTTGAGGGACTATTTTGAACACAGTAGCAGAACTTAGATAAAAGATGGAATTTTGGAAAAAAGAACAATTTTCCAAATAATATTATTTCCCAAAAAAAAATAATAACAGGATGAAAACCATATTATGCAATGGAAAACTAGGAATAGAAATTAGAACTAAAGTATTGAGATGCTACATCTTCTTTGTTCTGTTATATGGAGTTGAAGCCTGGACAATTAAGTATACAACTGAAAAGATACTTGTGCTATCGAATAATGTGGAAAATATTAGGAAATATAAAAAAAGGGGAAAGAAATACTCGAAGAAAAGAAAAGTGATTAAAGCATTTTTGGTCACAGACTAAGAAATTAAGAATATGAGTTGATGCGATTACTTATATAAGGGAGTCTGGAATAAAAAGAGGATTGAGTAGACGATGATGCACGTTCTAGTTGAAAATAATATATTTAACAAAGTCAGAACTCTAGTGCCCTTTGGCTACTACTTAAATCGTAACTCAGACGATAACAATAAGCTTAGCTACATATACATATATACATCTCTCTTCAATCGTGACCCCCGAGGTGAGTGTAGTGGTCATGGTGATGACGTGTATTGTCCGTCTTCAAAGATCTCTGTCTCTGATCATTTCTTTTAACTCACGCATAGGTATTTTGCATATTCCTGTAATTTGATCGGTCCAACGTCCTTGCGATTTTCGGCCTTCTATCTTTTCTTGGATAATAAGTCCTTCCAGATATATATATAGATATATATATATAGATATATATATATATATATATATATATATATATATATATATATATATATATATATATATGTATATATATATATATATATATATATATATATATATATATATGTACAGTGTGTATATGTACATATATATATATATATATATATATATATATATATATATATAATTCTTTGGAGGGTAACTTTCGGGAAAACGTCAAAACAAAGATCAGCTAGAGATGGTATAAGCCAGCTTGGTGTAGAACTTTATTCTAAATGTGAAATTTTCGGTGATATGTTGTCACCTTCATCAGCACCTAAATGGAAAACCTATTATAGTACAGTGGTGGAAATCAACATTTAAAAACCTACATTGAAAATGTTCAGTTGGTCCTAGTTGTAAAGAACACTGTCACAAACATGTTAAAAATATTAAAAAATACATTTAAAATTTTGAATAAAAACATTACAACACAAACAGGGTAGTTTTTCAAATACAAACACAACAAAAAGTCTAAAATTTACAACCTACAAAAACTGCAAATAGAAAAGAAGAATTAATCTTCTTTTTTGATGACATATTTCTGTCAACATCCGGGTGTCATATGTAACGAGGTTATAATTTTCACTTTTGCACCTCACAACCACATGGATACGAAAAGAAAGAGCCCTAGGCAACATAATAAGCAAGGAAATGAAGTCCCCTCTAAAGCACAGGTAGGTAATCTATGCATGTCATGATAAGTTCCCCACTACACTACAATCAACTACACTCTTGACATTTTCAACTCATATAACACTCACCTACAATTCACAGTTGAAACAGAAGAAAATAATAGTGTTCCATTCTTAGAAACCTATGTAACCAGACATGAGGACAATACAGTAAGGTTGGATTGGTACAGAAAAAAAACATTCTCAGGTAGATATGTGCCTTTTCACTCGTATCATCCAGACGAACAGAAGATTAACATCATCAAAGGTCTGAAAAACAGAATAAAAAGAATTTGTCACCCTTCAAACTATAATAAGAACATCAAGTTATTGTATGAGATTCTTAGAAAAAATCACTACCCTAAGATGCTTCTTAATAAATTGCTATTTCAAGATATGCCAACAGTTAGAACACAGCAAAGACAAACATTAGAAGGAGAAACAGTAGAAGTGTTCTATGGGAGATTGCCTTACATCAAAGGTTTATCACCACAGATCACAAACCTTTTCAGACAGTTCAACATAGTGATAGCAAATTCTGTTTACAAAAGATTAGGGACATACTTTACTCACCTGACAGAAAGAGTTAAAAAACTGGATAACTTCAATGTAGTGTATTCTATTCCAAGTGGTTCTTGTTCAGAAGTGTATGTCGGTCAAACCAGCCAGAAACTCTCAAAAAGAATAGCTTTGCACAGGAGTGATGTTGTGAGGAAGCCCACCAGCACAGCCTTTAGCCAACATATTAAGAATACTGGACACACTGCTAACTATGAAAATGTGCAAGTACTAAAGAGGGTTGACAACCAATTTAAGAGAAACTTCATAGAAATGTGCTACATCCATAACTGCAGCTCTCCTATGAACTGTAAGAAAGATGTTGAAAACTTAAGTTGTATTTATTCCTTTCTACTTCAACAGGACTTGACAAGAAGTAACAAACTGGAAAATGTGGGGAACTTATCATGACATGCATAGATTACCTACCTGTGCTTTAGAGGGGACTTCATTTCCTTGCTTATTATGTTGCCTAGGGCTCTTTCTTTTCGTATCCATGTGGTTGTGAGGTGCAAAAGTGAAAATTATAACCTCGTTACATATGACACCCGGATGTTGACAGAAATATGTCATCAAAAAAGAAGATTAATTCTTCTTTTCTATTTGCAGTTTTTGTAGGTTGTAAATTTTAGACTTTTTGTTGTGTTTGTATTTGAAAAACTACCCTGTTTGTGTTGTAATGTTTTTATTCAAAATTTTAAATGTATTTTTTAATATTTTTAACATGTTTGTGACAGTGTTCTTTACAACTAGGACCAACTGAACATTTTCAATGTAGGTTTTTAAATGTTGATTTCCACCACTGTACTGTAATAGGTTTTCCATTTAGGTGCTGATGAAGGTGACAACATATCACCGAAAATTTCACATTTAGAATAAAGTTCTACACCAAGCTGGCTTATACCATCTCTAGCTGATCCTTGTTTTGACGCTTTCCCGAAAGTTACCCTCCAAAGAATTGTATTCTTAGCGTCGTTATACACACTCTATATATATATATATATATATATATATATATATATATATATATATATATATATATTAAAAATAAATTAGGCACATAGAACATGATGCATGTCGAATTACCATTAAATCAATATCGGAACTGGCTTAAATTATGTTTTCTTTTAACACCCAGGTCCGCATATTATAGGTTCGTGCTTCCCACAAAATATGCATCAGGACCAGGACTCCAAGCTTGGGATTTTCAGAAACAGTAGAGGCCATTTTCCATACTGGACCGAGTTGGATTCGACCATGGGCATTCTGTGCGAAGTAAGTAAAAGAGTTTTTTATAAAAATTTTGTGTAACTTAGATTTGTTTACTTAGTTGTAGAACTTTGGATTTTTCAAAGAAAATATATATAGAGAATATAGAGAAATAGAACAGACAGACGGTGAGGTGAAAACATATAATATATGCCTAAGATCTATAATAAAGTAGGGTTTCAAAACGAATAACCTAAACTTAGCCATAAGATTAGTCGAGAATAAAAGTTTTTTAAAATAAAAGCATGCAATAGATGACATAAAAACGCCTTCGTCACAGCTGAATCGAAATTAATTTTACGCGTTCAAAATCGCACCTTAAAATTTTCAATTATCTTCTCTTTTATTTAACCAATTTTGAGGTTTTTTTATTCGAGACCTCGCAAACTAAAAAAATCAAATATCGCATTTGCAAGTACGTAATAATAAAATTTATAGGTTCTTTTAACAACGAAAAATTATTTACCGTAACACTAACTTTATTTATAGCACATATTTATTATACGGATGATTTCTGCAGAAAATTATTTCCCCTTCGTTATCTATTATTACGAAAAAATTACGGAATAAAATCAGTGAATTTTATTTAATAATATGATTTCAAATTACAATCTTTATTTTACTGGCAGCTATAAAATAGTAAATGCAATAAAATTGGTTTTTAACTCATTTAAAAATTAAATACTTTCAAGAATATAAAAAAAAATATTATTTTTATTATAATTAAATTATATTCCAAAATATATATATATATAATATATATATAAAAATTCCACTATAGGCTTTTCACAGTTTGGTTGAGTATCCTATTATATACTATCGTCTTTATAGTTGACCGTTTTCTAATTGAAACTCATTTTCTACAAGGGATCTTCAATTTCTTTTTCTGCAGCTATCTCCTCATCATAATCAATGTCCATCTCGATTTGCTTAGATATCTCGGAAATTCTTGTATTTTTGTATAATTAGCTTTGACAATGAGTACAATAATCACAACATTTTAAACCATGTTTAACGCAGCTGTATGTTTTGGAGTCTTTTTTGCAGTTACAGCTAATCGTTTTTAATCAAGTTTCAGCTGTAGCTGCTGTAATGTCTGGATAGGTTTTAAATCATTTTTTGTTTTAAACTGTTAACTCTACTCTGTAGAGTTCAAGTTATTACTCAGAAACTATTTAACTTCATATTTTACTCTATAACAGTGTTGTTTTGCTGCAGATTGAATGGGTGGAAGTATTAATAAATGAAAATTCTTTTTCTGACATCCTTTCTTAAAATATAAATATCGCAGAGTACTCAATTCAATGTTATAACTTTTTTACCCATATACAATGCATCTATTATTTTAAGGCTTGCATTTGTTAGTTGCTTGCGTGAACCATTTGGATCGCTAAAATTGTTCGCTTCTTTTTATAAATTATTTTCACCAAAAAAGTAATTTGATATATTTTTTTCATGATAATGAAAAGCTGCCGTGGTATAGCATTCCAAAAAAGCATATATGAACCCAACTAATGACTTTAAAGTACTTGTGCTAAATGATTCAGTCATATACTTCCTCTGCCTTTTGCCTTTACTAGGTTTTCAAAAGTTTATCTTTTAATTTAAAGCGACAATTTGACAGAAGATAACTAAGACATCGATATTATCAGCTACAATAATTGCTGCTTTATAAGCAACCCATTCGCCTTTAGAAACCTCCCCTCTCATTTGTCCATCTCTAGCAGTTAGAAATGTGGGCGAGAGCGTCCGGTACCCCACAAGCAGTACAGTCTATCGAGGCAGATTTGCCTTTTCTATTTGTGAAGGTGCCAAAACTTATGTCAAGTCAGAAACTACGTCAGGAAGTAGTCTAGTTTCCTCAACTTACCACCACGGTCTCAGATCGGGAATAAGCTCCTTGGTTCACCTTGCCTTTCCGCTATCATTCGCGCATTATCTCTGCCACTCTACTATCGTTCTTTCTTTCTCATCATCATCATCATCAGTAGTGCTACAGCTCTAGTTGAGCCTTGACCTTCCCCAGTCTATTTCGCCAGTCGTTTCTGTTCATCGCAAACTAATGCCAATTTGCCGCGCCGATTTTCCTTGTGTTCTCGTCCACACCGTCCTCCATCTCAGTCGTGGTCTGCCTCTAATCCTATTTCCCACTGGGACCGATAATAGAGTTCGTCTGGGTGGGTAATTTTCATTTGCTCTTGACACATGTCCAGCCCATCTAAGCCTACCTATTTTTATGAAGGATATTACATCTCTACCATTTACTATTTTTTTATACTTCTCGTACAATTCGAAATTATATCGCCTTCTCCAAATACCATTCTCACAGAATGCGCACATTATTCTTCTTAGTATCTTCCTTTCGAAGACGAGCAGAAGATTTGCGTCTGTTTTGGAGATGGTCCATGTTTCTGACCCATATGTCAGCACTGGTAGGATGAGTGTTCGATATATTATTAGTTTGGTTTTCTGGCTTAAATTTCTGTTTTTTAGCTGCTTGCTTAGTCCAAAATAACATTTTTTTGCTAGCAGTACCCTCCGTTTAACTTCTTCAGATGTGTCATTATCGTTTGTTATGAGAGAACCCAAATATGTAAACTTATTTACTACCTCAAAATTATATTGGTCTATACTGAAGTTTTGTTCGGCGTTTCTAGCTCTATCTCTGTTATTTGGAATAGATGCTAACATTTTGGTTTTTTCCTCGTTTATTTTAAGGCCCATATTTTGTGCGGCTGTCAAGAAGGTGGAAGTCATCTCTTTAAGTCCTCGTGTAGTACGTGCGATCAAATCCAGATCGTCAGCGTAAGCCATAATCTGCGTTGATTTATTAAAGATTGTTCCCCTATTGTGTAACTCGGCATCTCTTATAGTCTTTTCTAACGCTATATTAAGGAGAAGGCACGCCAGCGCGTCTCCCTGTCGTAACCCTGCATCTGTTTCAAACGCTTGTGACATATCGCCTTGTATTTGAACTCTGCAGATCACTTTACTCATAGTTGTTTTTACGAGCCTTATTAATTTATGGGGAAGGTTAAGTTCATTCATGGCTTCGTATAATTTCATACGCTGACCTAAAGTCCACAAAGAGATGGAACGTGTCAATATTAAATTCATTGGTTTTTTCTAAGATTTGACGTAGCACAAAAATCTGGTCAATTGTTGACCTACCTGGCCTAAAACCGCTTTGATACTCACCAAGGATTTCTTTTACGTACGTACTTAAACGGCTGTACAGGGTGTTGGAGAATATTTTGTACATTGTATTCAGAAGAGTTATACCCCTATAATTTTTACATTCCAACAAATCTCCCTTTTTGTGCAGTGGACATATGATTCCAGTGCACCATTCCTCTGGCATTTGTTCTTCTTCCCAGACTTTGACTATTATGTTGTGAATTTGGTGCATAATGCTGTTACCTCCATGTTTGATGAGCTCTGCGGGGATACAATCCACTCCTGGGGACTTGCTATTTTTGAGTCGTGTGATTGCGTCTTTCACTTCAAATATTGAAGGAGGTTCTACGTGAGTGTTATTTCTTGGTCTTTGGGGTGACGCATCATTTTCCACTTCGGTACCAAGTAGTTCTTTGAAGTGCTCAACCCATCTGCTTTGTACTGCGTCAGCGGTACTGACTATATGTCCATTTTTGTCTCTACACATCGTCAGCCGTGGTTTAAATTCTTTTCTTGTCTTATTTAGGATATTATAGAACTTTCTAGTTTCATTTTGCCCCTTTAATGATTGAAGCTCTTGCATAATCTGGTTTTCGAAGGTCCGATTTTTCCTTCGATGTATGCATTTTTCCTCCTTCCTAAGATCTTTGTACATTTGCTCCTTATCCCGTGTTCTTCTTTGTTGCATAAGTTTATAAGCATAATTTTTTCTTTTAGTGATATCTTCACATTCATCGTCGAACCAACTGTTGCGTGTAGTGGATTCTTCTGGTCCTAGGACGTTGTTTGCCGCTTCCTTAATTGTTCTTTTACATATATCCCATTGCTCGCTAGCTGTTAAATTCTCATCTGTTGTGCTTTCATGTTCAAGGTAATTTTGATACCGTTCTAGTACACGGGGCTCTTTCAAGAGTTTTAAATTGTAGCGAGTACTTTTCTTACCCTTTTCTTTTTTTGCATTTAAGATTCTTGCTCTTATTTTTGCGCCTACTAAGAAGTGGTCTGAATCTATATTAGCTCCACGATAAGTACGTACATCCATTAGATTAGAGAAGTGCCTGGTTTCTATTAGGATGTGATCTATTTGATTTTTGGTTGTACCATCAGGCGACGTCCATGTTACTTTATGGATATTCTTATGGGGGAAGTAAGTACTTCCAACGACCATGCCCTTGGATGCTGCAAATCCTATTATTCTATTTCCATTGTCGTTGGTGACGTCATGAGCGCTGCATTTTCCGATGTATGGACTATATATATTTTCTTTCTTTGCACAACAAAACGATCGGTATCATCGCTCCATAACGCTACACCATACGGGGACAGCGTAGACTAGCACCGACTAGAAAACTCCATTTAGCACCTTTCTTTTGGTGCTACCTGGGTCTCCAATGTTTGGCATCGGCCGTATCAACGCCTTCAGATTTCGGTTCGCCTTCTCTACCGTCTTTTGGATGTGTACTCCGAACCTTAGTCCTTCCGACAACCAGACTCCCAGATATTTAATCGAGTTAACCGGTGCAACCTCCACAACTTCCTCCAAAATTATTTTGCAAAAACTATTGAACCGATTTTAATGAAATTTTGTGTGATAATTAAATATATTTAAAAAAAAATTTTCTCTGAATATGAAGATCCTAAGTTTGATTTTAGTATGGGAAATAAACTTACAAAAAAAACCTTTTTTTAAATTTTTTGTGTTTTTTAAAACAAATTTAAAATTGAAAGTTTTTTTTTAAATCTTTCAATTTTTTTCATATTTTATAATTTTTATTAAAAACTTAAGCCAACATTTTATAACTCACGCATAGTAAAATTACCATTTCTAGTGATATTTTGGAGCAATTATAATAGTCACTATTTATTTTTAGGGTTTTTATTGAAATTGCACTTGGTCTAACCTATTACCTATCAGCTGCAGTATACGTTGTTCTTATATCAGAATCCTTAGCAAAAGTAAGTATCACTAACTATATAATATATAATAAGTAATGGATTCGACAGTTACTTGATGGAAGTTAATTTTATCTAAGAATAGAATACTGAAAATTTTTGTTTTCAACACTTAAATATAAAATTATTTTATTATTAATTATTTTTATTATTTATAATAATAATATTATTATTTAAATATGATTATACTATTTATTAACTTAAAGATAAAATTTATTTTAATATATATAATCCTTACAACTGTTTCGGCAGAATGCCTTTCTCAAGTGAGCTATTTTTGTACGCGTCTAACACTTTATAATTTTTTTATGAATAAGTTGAATTTGAGTTGAGAAAACTGTTTATCTCAAGTTGCTCATTCAGAATTGTATCTTTTTTTTTAATTTGGTAATTTCCATAGATTCTAATATCTTAAGGCCTTTATGTTGAATGTAATAATTTGAAATTGGTTACTAAAAGAATGATTATGATCTAGAAGATTATGTACGGTGAAGTATTTACGTAGAATCTGTTTTTATATTAATGAAAGCTCTTTTGTGTACTGCTATCCATTCGTGAAGATGCAGATAAGAAAGCCCTAAAGTTAGTCTTTCCATCAATAAAGAAAAAACCAAGTACTTTCTGCTTGATTACATATACAGGCAAGATATCAACAAAAATGGCCAAACACAAAAAGAAAAGAATAAGGCCAGCTTCATAAACAAACAACAACTTAAGCAAATATATTAAAAACAATAAGTGTCTAACGAAAAAGCACTTAACCAGTGGTGAATACAAACTTACATGTGTGGCGATTGCCCAAAAACTTACATCGGTCAAACGAGTAGAACCTTTAACAAACAGATATTAGAACACAAAAGGGCTTTCAATAATAGAAAAACAGATTCTACATACGAACTTTACCGTACATAATCTTCTAGATCATAATCATTATTTTAATAAGCAATTTAAAATTTTTTACAGTCAAAATCAAGGCATTAGTATATCATTATTAGAATGTATGGAAATTAACAAATTAAAAATTACAGATATACTTCTGAATGACCACCTTGAGACAAACAGTTCTCCTCTCCTCAACTTATTTATAAAAAGACTATAAAGTGTTGGACGCATAACAACAATAGTTCACTTGAGAAAGACACTCTGCCGAAACAGCTGTAGTGATAATAAATTATAATAACTCTTATGGAAGTGTTGAAAACAAAAGTTTTCTAACTTAAGTTTTATATCTGGCATAGAGAAAATTAATATTCCTACTTAATTTCGATTTATTTCACTAAATTTTAATTTTAATTTCTCTTGTTATGTCATTATTTTAGTTTAAGCACTTAATAATATGTTTTGCATAAGATGTAAAACCCATTATGGATGCTACCGTTCCTAAACTAGATATTGCCAAATTTTTAAAAGGTACTTCACTTCTTTATTGCTAGAAGTTCAAATATGTTAAGGAAATGCAAACAAAGTTTATTATTAATATTCTCTATTTACTACGGGTTTAACGTGGATTTGATGAGTGCTCGACTTTATGTAGAAAGAAACTTAAAAACCTACTTAATTTAAATTATTGCAGGGGTAAGATTAGGAGATACATTTTGACCCTCTGGCGTTAGAAGATAATATTAAAGTGTGTAGATTTTAAACTTTAAAAGAATCTGCAATGATATAAATATTTATGTATTAGTTGGTATAAACATTTAAGACTCGCAGACCAATAATGCCATACGCGCCACAAACACGACCTCACACAGACAGGACAAAAAGGATGTTAGAAATAACAGAGATAAAAATACTTAAAAAAATGATTGGTAAAACACTATGGGATAGAGCTAGAAGTACAGATATACGACACAATGTGGAGAACAATGTGGAAAAGACAATAGATAGAAGTCCAATGTGCAGGGGTACAACCAACATCAAAGAAATGCGTCAAATATCTGGGAGTGACACTACACCACTATGGGATATGGGGGAAGAATATACGAGTGGTAGCCCAGAGGTCAGCGAAGAGTGCGGCTGCGATGTGGAGGGTGATGCCTAACATTGGAGGACCCAAATCAGAAAGGAGGAGGGCCTTACACGGTGTTGTGCAGTTAATAATCCTTTACGCGACACCAGTCTGGAGTGAGGTGATAGAGATATCGACCTACAAAGGGCTCATGATACCAGTAGACAGAACAAGTCTGTTGCGAGTAGCATGCGCCTACAGGACTGTACCTGCGGTGGCCTTATGGATTATCACCGGTTGTGTTCTTCTGCATGTGTTAGCAGTAGAAAGGAGACATCTCTATAAGAGAATATTTGATAGCAGCCATAAAAAAAGAAGAAACAGAAAGATCAATAGAAAGATGCCCAGCATAGTGGAACAACATGGAAAAGCTGCTCAGTGGATCAAGATGCAGATCCCGAGTCTAAGGGAGTGGGTGGACTCTGATCACAGGCGACTGGATTACTTCCATATTAATGCAAGTGCTCACAGGACATGGGTGTTTTAGGACATATCTTCGTAGATTCGGAAAAACAGGTCACATTTCTGCTGTTTAGTATATTTGATACATATTAACCATAGACATAATTAAACTCGTCAAAGGCAACAACTTAATAAAGATCGTGGAACTATTTAACAGCATTTACAAATCTGGTATCATACCTAATGAATGGCTAGTAACAACAATAATAGCCATACCCAAAAAGTCTAATGCGAGACAATGCTCGGAACATCGCACCATCAGTCTCATGTGTCATATATTAAAGGTCTTCTTAAAAATCATTCATCGGAGAATATATAAAAAATTGGAAGTTGACATCGGACCCTCTCAATTTGGCTTTAGAGACGGACTAGGAACTAGAGAGGCACTGTTTGCTTTTAATGTTCTAACACAACGTTGCTTAGACGTAAATCAGGAGATATTTGTGTGTTTCCTAGACTATAATAAAGCATTTGATAGAGTAAAACATAGGCCACTGATGCAAATACTGGAAAATAAAAATATTGATACAAGGGACATGCGTGTGATAAGGAATCTATACTACAAACAAGAAGCTACAGTACGAATTAACAGCTCGATATCAGATAGAATACAGATCAAAAGAGGTGTTCGGCAGGGCTGTGTGTTGTCTCCAACCTTGTTCAATGTCTACGCGGAAGAAGTTATTAAAAAAGCTCTTATGAACGAAAAAGCCGGAATAAAGATCAACGGTCACCCCATTTGCAATATCCGATATGCTGATGATACCGCGCTCATAGCAGAAAATATTGAAGACCTACAGAGATTACTAAACAAAGTGGTAGAAGCAAGTGAAGAATTTGGTCTGTCACTGAATACAAAGAAGACCAAATTCATGATAATTACAAAGAAACGTATCAATAATATCAACTTACATGTAGGACAGAATCTCATTGAACGAGTACAAAATTACAATTACCTCGGAACAAATATTAACGAGTCAAACGAATACACCAGAGAAATAAGAATAAGAATAGAGAAAGCCCGCAGTGCCTTTAACAATATGAAACAAATGTTGTGTAGCCGTAACCTAAGCCTAAAGCTGAAAATACGAATGCTTAAATGTTATGTTTTCTCGGTCCTGTTGTATGGGGTGGAGGCGTGGACACTAAATAAGCAATGTATGGGTAAGCTGGAGGCATTTGAGATGTGGGCGTACCGTAGAATGTTAAAAATCTCCTGGAAGGATAAGATAACTAACCAAGTTGTATTAGACAGGATGAACAAACAAAAGGAGGTCGTATTGAGTGTTAAAATGAGGAAACTACAATACCTGGGACATATTACACGTGGGAATAAATATCAACTGTTACAACTAATTATGCAAGGAAAGATTGAAGGTAGGCGCAGCATAGGTAGGAGAAGAAGAATGTCGTGGTTGAGAAACCTCAGGGAGTGGTTTGCTTGCACTTCCATACAATTGTTCCGAGCGGCAGCCTCCAGGGTCAAAATTGCCATGATGATAGCCAACCTTCGTAGCGGAGATGGCACGTGAAGAAGAAGAAGAAGAAAAAATCACACATTTGAGAAAAAACAATATGGCTGGTAAATGTGTTAAACAAGATAGTTGGACAGCATTATTAACGTTGAACAAATTACTTCTGGTAGATTAGAGTCACCCATTATGTAAAACTTGGTGCTGGTATACACATAACACATTTTTTCCACTGCCAGACAGTGATCACTCTAAGTGTCATCAGAATTGTGTACCGTATTGTGGTCCTATAGTCGTATATTACATTCTCTAGAATGGCTCGTTTTAAAAGGTCTAATAACTTCGAGACTAAACTTTCCATGTAGCTCTTTGACTTTGGCTCTGCTGTTTCTTTTTCTAGGTGAGATAACTAGAAAGCATAGGTCATCTGCCAATCCCATCAGCTTTAACTGCCTATTCAGCATAATACAGTGTCATTACCATTCCAAAGACTTGTAAGCTACCCACTTTCTTGTAGCCGTTGTTTTACTGCTTTTGCAATGGCGCAGCATGGTTCCGGTCCAATATAGAATATCCTGGTAACATCTAGCCCAGCATTAAGTTTAAACCTAAATATTTACATAATAAAAATAGTTATTCAAAGTAAGCTTTGGTTTTCTTAATGATTAAAGCTTAATGGCTTTAATTTTGTAATTATTGCATCGATTCACCATGTTTCAATTACCTATCCTCACTTTCTTAAAACTTAAAAACTTTCCTATCGTTTCGCTAACACTTTTCTATGGCTTCGCTAACACTCGCCTATGGTTAACACTTTTGTCTCAAACTATAAACTTTAAAACATGAACTATTACAAAAATGTTACCGAAACGAAAATTTTATTTTTTACTGCAACTTTGACCACAGTGAGTTCTACTATATAAGTGGATGTAAATTTTGGCAATTTAGTTATTATTTTCGTTTCCTTAAAAGTCATGACCACCACGCCCCAAATTTTGTATGTATCGAAAGGTTTTATTAATAGTGGAAATGAGTCTATTCAACGCAGGAAATATGTATACATGTACATTGTAACCTCGGAAATTTTTTTTTGTGGTGCTAGAAAGATAACCAATAGAGACACTGCGGACGGCAGCCAGATGGTTGGTGGAGAGCGGGTCGTGGGTTCGAAACTAGCTTTTGGAACCGGGAATGGATCCAACGGAAGAAATAGGTAAAGATAGGATAAGAGATAGTAGAAAAGATACAGAAATAAACAAAAAGATAGATGGGTAAAATTACCAAAGATAAGAGAAGATAGAAACAGGGCGCCACTCAATTTTTTGGGGTTAAGGAGAAAATTAAGAAAACCTTAGAAAAGAAAAGAGATAAGAAAAGATATTTAGGTTCAGAGATCAAACCCAAGGAAAGATACCAACAGTAAATTATCAAATAAATCTGGTCAACGCAATATATAAACAAATAATAAATATATTAAGTATTACACTTACTTACCTACGAAACTTAATCAGCCTGATCTTTCTACAGTTCAAAAGCATAGTAATATTTAAAGATAGTAATTGTTCAGAGCTATTATTTTATTAGGGAACTTGTTAGGAGCCGACAAATAAAATACATGCATAAAACAATAACAATATATTAAACACAAAATTATGGTGCTGCTAAATGCAACCCAGGTAATAAAAATACACAACTATGAAATGGTGTTATATATGTATAAAATTAAGCAATAATGTAATAAAAAAATACCTTTACCAAGATATATAAGGCAATCATATACAAATATAGTTTGGCGTATGTCGAGATATCATAGGAAAGATAATGAACAAAAATTATAGGAAATACAAAAGATAGCAAAAATTACTTAACTCTAAATTTACAAAAAAAAAAAAACAAAAAGGTTACAGGAATGAAAACATAAACCAAACCGCACTTGGTTAAGTCAATTAACTATCTCGCACTATTATTTAATAAAAAACTGAGACTTGTATGTTCATAGGTAATATTTATAGAAATTTCTTGAATGGTTCAATTACATTCAAAAATCGGCAATCTACAGGTGAAGATATAGATGATACGTCCAGATAATGGCAGGTGATATGGTACCATACCATATTACTCGCCCAGATAATTGTAGATAAAGATAACTTACAGTAGATCTTGACGAAGGCAGCTTAATTCACTGAATTTAATACTTTTCTGGTACTAAACACTGAATTTAATAACCATTAAAGGTAGTGTAGAACTATATATAATTTAATATAGTCTAAGGAAAGAAAATTCAAATATAAAGTGTATACACACTTAGAAAATAATTCACAAAGACGATACGATAAGAAATAAAGTGAGCAAAGCGTAACACGAGATATTGGCCTTAACTCTACAACGGCTCACCAAAAAGTCTCACGAGATATTACCTCACTCAACAACTGCCCACCAACAAGTAAATTGGTTCCACTAAAAATTTCACCAACTGTCCCTGAAAAAGGAAGAAGAAAATATTCCCCTACTCAAAATTGATAGGACAGTTGTATGTGTTTCTCAGAAGGTAAGGCCTTAACGACTATTGGGAAGTTTGAGGTAAAATAATCGGTATTAACAATTGGACATAAGAAACAGACAATACTTGGGATTAAGTTATAGTCAAAAGATATGGGCCTTCGACGAAAATTACCAATTTATGAAAAGGAAACTGCATACCGGAAAGCATTTGTTCTTTTCATACAGAGTATTAAGACGGAAGGATTAAAAACCTTTCTTAATTAGGGAATTCCATTTTAGCTTGGTATCTACAATATTATTTCCTATCGTAAACACGGGGATTCCTAATCATCGGCGTATCGCACGGGTGTAAAAGGAATTAAAAATAATTTGATATATTAATAATAAAAAAAATGTTAAAAACATAACATACTAAAATTGCAGTACTAGATCATGTCAGGCTTCATCAGATATGTCAGATATATAAATTAAAGTAGCTAACTTGCATGGTTTTATTTGTACGATAATCATATATTTTATTTCTTCATTTTAGCTCATAGCACCGTATTATCCACCGGCGGCAGACTGGGGGTTGTATTTTAAGTTAATAGCTCTAGCGATATTGCTCTGCTTGTGTCAAATACGAGAACTGAAGCATCTAGTCCCATTATCATTAACTGCTAATATAACTATTGTTATAGCTTTTGGAATTACTTTGTATTACATTGCTCTTACAATTCAGAAGGTAGATATAAAAGAAAGACATCTATACACAGACGTAGCAAGTCTTCCGACATTTATAAGTACTGTTCTTTTCTCTATTGAAGGAATTGGTACGATTATGCCTGTAGAAAATTCAATGGTAAGTTATTACAGATTTTATATGTCAATAACCAAAAATATCTTTTTCGTTTTATTCTTTTGTCATTTCTTTTAACTTATGTATAGGCCTTTTCCATATTCCGGTAATTTGATCGATACATCTTGTTGGTGATCTTCCTCGTGATCTTCAGCCTTCTATATTTCCTTGGATAATAAGTGTTTCCATGTTTTCTGTGTCTGCCCTCATAACATAAGTATTTTATTTGTTGGAGATGGACCTTTTGGCCCATCTCCAACATGGATAGCATGCATCTTCTGAAGATGGATAGCTTTTTCATTATGAACACCACTTTAACGAAGATTTCTTTGATTCTTAATTATTTTAAGGGTATCATCTGTCATCCAGTATTTCTGTTGCATAGGATTATTTACTCTTGGTCGACTAATTGGTGTTGTGACACAATGTTTAATAGTCTCCCATATTTCTTGTGATGTACCCCTACCAATAGAGGGATAATATTTTACACTTCTTGGAGAAGATCGTCCTTTCTTAATTCTATCCCCTTTTTCGCTCTGTTTGTTGGGCATTTTGAGTTTAAGCTTTACTTTAGCTACGAGGAGAGCATGCTCTAATCTACATGTAATGTCTGGATATGATCTGACTGTTTAGATTAATGATCTTCAGCGAATATTAGTAAGGATGATGTCAATTTGATTTATAGACACATCTCCAGAACTTTTTCAAGTATAAAGTCAGTATATATTGTGTTTACATCAAATATTCATAATAGAATAGTAATTTGTAATAGCAAACTCGATTAAGCGGTCTCCTCCTTCGTTTCTCTGACCTATGTCAAAGTTTCCCAGTACAGTTTTAGGTCTTCATTCTGTGTAGTGTTGCCGACTTTTAAAGTTTTTAAGTTAATTTCAATCGCTCATATCTTTGAATTCGACGACAGATTGTTGTAATCTTGGTAAAACCTTGAATACTGGATAAATTTACAGTCCTTGTCTGTATCTGTATCTGTAGAGTAGGGAGGGCGAGTTAAGTTTCACAGCACTTAGGCCACAATTGACCCAGTGTGCATCCTCCCAGGGAGCTGTCACTCTTAGCTCATTGTCCATCCTGCCATTTCTAGGAAGGTGGAAAAGTCACCAGGGGACATCTCACTTATGTGGGCAGGTGTAGGCCAGGACTCGCCGAACGCGTACTCTCGTATTAACGATAACTCTTGGCATTCACCTAGGACATACTCTACAGTTTCGTCTTCTCGTTCACACTTCCTACATAGAGGTGTGTCTACTAGCCCTAGTGTGTGGAAGTGTTTGCTTAGTTGACAATGACCAGTTAAAAAACCAACTGCCAAACGTAGATTTTTCCTGGCCATTCCCAAGTACTTCTTTGATGTTGACTCTTCAAGGTTACTTAGTGTTATTCTGGCCAGTCTACATCCTTTCCCTTCTTCCCATCTTTTTACGGTTTTCGTATGGGAGTGACATTTGACAATTTCCGCGATTGTTATAGTTGACCAACCAAAAAGATCCCCAGGTCCTAAGAGTCTTAGGCCTGCCGCCTTCCTAGATAATTGGTCAGCAATGCGGTTGCCTTTATTCCTATTGTGTCCCTTAACCCACTTCAGGATGATGGTATTACCATCCGAAGCTTGAGTTAGTGACTCGTGACACTCCATTACTAAACCTGATGTGACACGTGGTCTATTCAAGGTTAGTAGCGCTTGTCTGCTATCTGTGCAGATCATTATAGTTTTCCCTGCTATACCTTTTTGGGTTATCTATTTTGCGGCTATAGAAATACCAGTTAGTTCTGTCTGAACTACACTGGCATTTTTGCCCATACCCCACTTTATTCTTAGGTTCAGTGATATGGAGTATATCCCGCATCCTGAGCCTTCTTTCATTTTGGAGCCATCGGTGTATAAGCAATAGGCATTTGCCACGTTTGTCTCCATACACTGTCTTGCTTCAATTTTGTAGGGTTTGTTAAAGACGAACTTTGGTTCAATAAGTCCTTGTCATATGGCTTTTATTTTTACATAATGTACCCTAATAAAAGGTCGCAAACTTTGAATACATTTTTATTTTAATTTCTTTCTTCTTAGGGTGCCTGTCCGTTCCGAACGTTGGCGATCATTTTGGCTATAATGACTTTGTTGGTTGATATACGAAATAGCTGTGTTGGGGCTTTCTATACTATGCTCTCAGGTTAGCAAGCCAGAATATTCTTCTTCGTCCTGGGGCCCTTTTTCCTTCAATTTTACATTGTAAAATCCATTGAAGAAGCTCGTATCTGCCTTGATTTCTCATTATATGTCCCAAGTACTGCAGCTTACAGCTCTTCACGATGTTGACCAAATCCGCAGTTGTGTTTATCCTCCGCAGTACTTCTTCATTGGAAGAATTACTGCATTAATTTAAAGTTATTAAAATATTTTTAGATTTTATTAAATTATATTGCTCATTATTTTTAGGTGACTCATACGTTTGTGGGACCTGTGGGAGTATTGAACGTAGCAATGTTTTCTGTACTCTCTGTATACACTGCGATGGGCTTCTTTGGTTATTTTGCTTTTGGTGAGGAAACAGAAGCTGCAATTACACAAAATTTACCTAATGATAAAGTGTAAGTATTAATAGTAAAAATTTACCTAATATATGTTCACTCTATCCACGCCTTACTTGAATACAAACCTTCACTATAAGCACTAACTTGGTAAATATATTTTTATAATAATTTATAAAATTTTCAAAATATCCAAAGGGATTAAAAAATTTTAAAACGTTTTCGTGCAGACCGCGCCATAATAAGTGATACCTGAAAGTAAGTAATTCCACTTTAATTTAATGAAAATATTAAAATTTTCACTAATAATACAGGGTGTTTTAAAAGGGTATGTCATAAATTGAATCTTGCATTCCGGGAACAAAAATACATTGATTGAATTCAACTTACCTTAGTACAAAAGTGTACACAAAAAAAGTTACAGTCCTTTGAAGTTACAAAATAAAAATTGTTTTTTCCCGTTATCTCCTAAACTACTTAACATTTTGTAATAAAAATGGACACGTTACTTTCTTGTTCTGAAAGCATTTTTCATACAAAAGAAACAACAAAATCAAAACTTTTGAGTACGTTTAAATCAAATGAACATTTTGTGACATCATTAGTTTTAACACATAATTTTTAAAACTTGTTTTGCGTCGCATCACTTTTTCGAAAAACTATTTTTTCCTAGTTGGCCATAAAATTACAATTAGTTTCTACGGATACAATAATTACAAATAGTTCCATACATACACATTTCAGGAAATGGCAGATATTCATTTAACTGTGAGTAAGTTGGATCAGATTAAATTATGATTTCAATAAACTATCGGGAATATCGTAGGTGAATGTCAAGGAAATAGTGCAGCAGCCGCAAGGCGTTATGCAGTAAAATACCCCAATCGAAATACACCCGATAGACGATTATTTCTGACCATTGATCATCGTTTACGGGAAACGGGTACATTTCAACCACAAGTTGCTGGCAATAGTGGTCGTCCAATAATGGATGCAACTGATTAAGACATTTTAGAAATTGAATAAGTCCCGGAACCAGTAAAAGCTGCTCAACTAAATGTTCCTTACGTAAGAAGTTTGAGGCGTTTGAAGGATCAGCTGCTTAAACCCTATCACTTAGCAACGTTTTAAGAGTTATTGGTTGAAGATTATCCTAAAACTATTGGATTTTGCGATTGGTTGTTAATGGAAAACACACGCAATGTTAATTTTATTAGAAATATTTTGTTTACCCACGAGGCTACCTTCAGTTGAAATAAAATAAAAAACCATCATAACGAGCACATTTATACCGACGAAAATCCTCACCCCAAAAAACGACTCATCACCAAAGGACTTTCAAAGTTAATGTGTGGGCAGGAATTGTGGATAACAATCTAATATGCCCAGTACTTCTTCCCAACAATTTAAACGGTGATAATTATTTGCAGTTCTTGGCAAACAATTTACTAGAGTATTTGCAATATAAGTACGAGAACAACTAGGAAAGAAAATAAAGGACATTAAAGAAAACACGTCGGACATAATAGAGAGATGGGATAAATCGAGATACAACAATGAAATAGAGACTCTCTTCGGGAAAGGAAACATCGTAAGATACATAAAAGCCAATAGATTAAGATGGGCAGGCCACGTGGTACGGAGTGATGACGACAGACTGATTAGCAATGTATTTTGGGAAAGACCAGATGGTAAAAGATCGACAGGAAGGCCTAGAAAAAGGTGGAAAGACGCTGTCAGGGAAGACCTGGAGAAGATGGAAGTAAGGCCATGGGAAATAATAGCACATGATCGGAATCAATGGAAGGCAATAGTAAACGCGGCAAAAACTCACGAAGAGTTGTAAAAGCCAATGATAATGATGATAAATCGAGGGAAGCAATCCAAACAACATGCGTGACTCTATTAAAGCGTGACCGACGGAAAAAGAAAGAATGGATGCCTGATGAGATAATGGATATGACGGATGAAAGACGTAAATTCAAGAATAAAAATGCAGAAAAATACCAGCAGATCCACAAAACCATAAGAACAAAAATTCGAGAACCCAAAGAAAAATGGTTTTCCAACGAATGCAGGGAAATAGAACAATACGAACGAAAATACGACAGTTACAATGTGCACAAAAAAATAAAAATCGATGACAAACAAGAGGAAATTCAATAAGTCACCCAACACCATAAAAGATAGCGATGGAAATCTTATCTCGGGGCCATCATCGATCTTAAAAACATGGAAATCATACATAGAAAAATTATTTGCATCTGACAGGACTGATGATCACCTATATGGAGAAGGAGAAACAGGACCTTCAAGCCTTAAATCGGAGATAGAAGATGCCATTGCAGCACTAAAAAACAATAAGTCAGCAGGTCCGGACAATGTACCCTGCGAAATATTAAAGATCCTATGTAAATCAGACAAACAGTTCCTTGATAATCTACTTGTACTTTTTAACAACATATATAATAGCGGTAAAATCCCGGAGAACTGGCTACAGTCAACATTTATTACAATCCCGAAGAAACCAAATGCCCAGATTTGTGATGACTACCGGCTTATAAGCTTGATCAATCATGTCACTAAAGCGTTCACTAAGATCATTCGTAGAAGAATATATGATAAATGTGAGTCAAATATTGATAGATTGCAGTTTGGTTTTCGGAAAGCACTTGGAACGAGAGAAGCAATTTTCGCTCTCCAGGTGCTTATACAGCGGTGTAGAGACGTTGATAAAGACGTGTATTTGTGTTTTGTAGATTTTAGAACATTTGACAATGTCAATCATGAAGAATTGATAGGTATTCTGCGAAAGACAGGTATTGACGACAAGGACATTCGAATGGTGGCAAACCTATACTGGGGTCAAACAGCAAGAGCAAAAATTGGCAACGAACTCACTGAAAGCGTGCAGATCAAAAGAGGTGTCCGTCAGGGATGTATATTATCCCCACTTCTATTCAATATGTATTCCGAGGAAATGTTTAACAAATGTATGGAAAATGCAAATGAGGGCATAAAAAACGGCGAGTTAACGAACAATATAAGATATGCCGACGACACGGTGGTCCTTGCCAGTACCATAGACGAATTACAAACGGCCTGAGCCTCAATTTCAAGAAGATAAAGTGGATGCTGATAAGCAAAAAGCAACAACCTGCTCGACAATTACGGATAAGTAACATACTAATTGATCATGTAGAATCTTATGTGTACCTTGGCACTAACGTAAATGCAAAGTGGGAACAGACCATAGAAATTAAGGCAAGAATAGAATTTAGCAATATAAAAAAGCTCCTCATAAGCAAGGATTTGTCTCTTCCCCTAAAACTACGTATAGTTAAATGCTACATCTTTCCGATCTTGCTGTATGGCGTGGAGGCCTGGACGCTGACGGAGACGCTAACGAGAAAACTAGAAGCATTCTAAATGTGGGTGTACCACATTCTTCACATACCAACGTAAACGTTGTACCGTAAACGATGTACCACACATTCTTCGTATATCCTGGACCGAACATGTCACCAACATAGAGGTACTCCAAAGAATCGGAAAGGAGAAAGAAATCGTGAATACAATTAAACAAAGAAAGCTTCAAGCTTTCTAGGCCACATATTGAGACACGATAAGTACCGTCTGCTACAATTGATTGTCCAGGGAAAAATAGACAGTAAGCGAGGGCCAGGCAGGAGAAGACACTCGTAGCTCCAAAATCTGCGGAAGTGGTTCGGCTCACATCGGTCGAACTATTCAGAAGCGCCGCAAACAAGATCAAAATTGCCATGTTAATAGCCAACGTTCGCAACGGACAGGGCACTTGAAGAAGAAGATGTGGTTTCTACAATATGGCGCTCCACCGCATTACAGTAATGAAGTCAGGGAATACCTTTGCAGGCGGTATCTGGTAGGTGGCTTGGAAGGGGTCGTGACGCACCTATTTCCTGGCCACCCAGAAGTGCAGGTCTTAACCCCATGGACTTTTGCTTTTGGTGGTTTATGAAAGAGAAAGTGTATTCTGTAACAATAGAGAACGAACAGGACAATGGAACAGGACAATTGAGGGTTACAATAATTGAAACTGCAGAAAAATATGATTTTTCAGGCGCATTCGGTTTTCCTTATTAATACGATAACGAATGTGTATTGAAGAAAATGGGGGCCATTTTGAACATTTATTGTAATATTATATTTATAAAGGCTATAGACATTTTTTGTACTTGTTAATGCGTTTAAGCCACTTATTTAGTTGCACGTAATTTTTTAAAGGTTAATAAAAGGGCCGTAACTCAATAAAAACTGTTTTTTGAAAAAAGTGATAAAAGGCAAAAAATTTTAAATATACTGTGTTAAACTAATGACGCTATAAAAGTCATTTGATTTAGGAGTACTCAAGAGTTTGGGGGGATTTAAGGCTACACACCCCCCTTAAAATTTTTCTGTGAGCTTAGATTTTGTTGTTTCATTTTTATGAAAAATACTTTCAGGACAAGAAAGTAACGTGTCCATTTTTATTACAAAATGTCAAGTAGTTTAGAAGATATTGCAAAAAAAAACGATTTTTACTTCTTAACTTCAAAAAGCTGTAACTTTGTTTGTGTACACTTTTGTACTACGGTAAGTTGGATTCAATCAATTTATTTTTGTCCCCGGAATGCGTGATTTAATTTATGACATATCTTTTTGAAACACCCTGTATAAAAAGGTACCTAGTATAATTACTTACTTAAAGTATTTGCAAAATGTCACTAACAACGGTATAAAAACCTTTAATTTACATATTAAAAGTTAAATAAACTTAAAATTAATTGACATAATCTCGATGATAATATGAAAAAGGGAACATACTGAACCCTTACTTGAGAATGACACGTTTGGTCAAAGTTATCAGCCAACTGAGTTGAAAGATCAGAAATTGATATCAAATAAAGCTTTCATGATGGCAACAAGTCAAGACATGATTGATAGTTACAGTACTGCGCAAATTAATGGTATTATAGGCTTTTTATATAAAAAACAGTTTCTTCAGAAAAAAATTATATTTTGACAAAACTATAAAGGTAAACTTACATCATTTAGTAAGAAACATGCCTTTGGCTGTAATTACTGCATTTTTATTTTTGTAGTACAGTCGATTTTGCGAAGTCTAGCTTTGTAAATGGCCCATAAATTTTCAATGGGGTTGAAGTCTGGCGAATTACCGGTTACATCTAAAAGATTAATCATCTTATTTTTGAAAAATTCCACTTTTGGCTTTGACTTGTGACAGGGAGCAGAGTCCTGTTGAACAATTGCTCCTCCTTGGAGTTGACATTTTTGGAGTTCTGTATCCAAACGCTATTCAAACATGGATTTGTATTTTTGGTTGTTCATAATGCTTTCGATTGGTATAAAAATCCGACCCCCATGTATGAAAAACATCCCCAAAACATTTTTTTGGCCTGATGTCCACCACTAAGGATTCAAATCCTCTGATATTAATATTACCAGAAGGAGATCTATAGCAGTTTAACAATACATACTAACTTTTTATTTAAATATGCTTTAGCTCAATTACCATGTATTTCAAAACGCTTGTCAGTAAAATATTTATCAAGGCTTATTACAGTACAAGATATAATGATTTTTTACCCAGATTGCAGTAACACCCCAATACCTGAGCGACAATAATTTACCGCTAGATAAAAATCGGGTATACAATAATAAATAATAGATGCTGAGTGATTCCAGGGGCAAGTCGACATTGAAAAGAAGACGAACAAACCACTCCATATAGCAACATACAACATCCGCTCCATGGCAAAAGACGAAAAACTCTACGAACTAGAAGAGGAATTGGTGAACTGGAATTGGGACATATTGGGACTGTCAGAAGTTAAAAGAAGAGGTGAAGGATATGTGGACTTACATTCAGGCAAAAGACTTTATTATAAATGCAGGGAAGACTACACATACGGTGGGGTAGGTTGAAATAATTGACAGCATATCAGACAGGGTTACATACATGGTCTTAAAACTAAATTTAAAAACTGAAATAAAGATCGTGCAAGTTTATGCTCCAACTGAAAAAGCAACCGATTAGGAAATAAATTATTTTTACGAAGACGTTAAAAAAGCTATAGACAACGACAAAGAATCCAAAATAATAATAATTGGAGACTTTAACGCCAAAATTTGAAGTAAGATTGAAGACTGTGAAAGCAAGATTGGAAATTTTGGATTCGGCACAAGAAACACAAGAGGAGAAAAACTCATGGAATTCCTGGAACAAGAAAACATGTATGTTATGAATACCTTCTACAAAAAGAAACCTAACAGAAAGTGAACATGGGTGGCACCTAACGGAACTACCAAAACTGCAATAAACTATTTTCTCCCAAACAACAAAGAAATATTTGAAGACGTCACAACAATAAACAACGTAACAACGGGTAGTGGCCATCGTATAATCAGAGCAAAAATAAATATTTATTTATTTTTGCTCTGATCTAGAAGACGTCTTCAAAACTACAAATTGGCCAACCTATGGCATTAACGTTAATGGCAACAAGTTAAACCACCTCAGATTCGCTGACGACATAGTGATTATAGCGAGTACATTCGAGGAACTGCAAATTATGTTGGGGGAACTAGCAGCCAGCTCCCAATACGTCGTCCTAAAAATGAATATGAAAAAAAAACAAAAATAATGACAAGCACAGATTACCCCAGACATATAACTATAAACGGCAGTGAGATAGAACAAATCCAGGAATATATCTACCTAGGCCAAATCCTGAGACTTGACAAAGAGAACCAAAGTGCGGAAATTACTAGAAGAGCAAGACTAGCATGAGCAGGATTTGGAAAACTTAGTTGGATACTTAAGAACCGCAAAATACCCCAATACTTGAGGAGCAAAATGTTCAACCAATGCATCCTTCCTATCATGACATGTGGATGTCAAACCTGGACCCTAACCAAGGCAAACATGAATAAACTAGCCACAACAGAAAGAACAATGGAAAGAGCAATGTTAGGTATACGACTGTCAGATAAAAAGAGGAACGACTGGGTAAGATCCAAAACAAAAGTCGAGGACATAACAACAAAAATTGCCAAACTTAAATGGAGCTTCGCGGGCCACACTGCTAGACAGAAAGACCAACGTTGGAATACTACAATACAACATTGGAGACCTTACGAAAGTAAACGACCAAGAGGAAGACCACAGATGAGATGGGTTGATGACATTGAAAGAATAGCCGGATCAAATTGGAAATATGTTGATCAGGATAGAGACCGATGGAAGGAGTTGGGAGAGGCCTATGTCCAAACATGGACGACAGAATGCAAAGAAGAAAAAGAAGAAGAAGAGGGATTCCATATTTCAGATAAAAAAGAAAACTATAAAAAAATCATTGATTTTATCAACACTCAAATACTCATAGATGCTTTAGTTTGCTCCCAAACACAATTTCACTTTTTTTTTAATTGTTTGGGAATTACCATTATATTGTTTATCAAACAGGTTTATTGATAACGATTTTGTTTTTGCTATTACTAAAATATATCAGTACTATAGTAAACCTGGAGTTTTTGATAGTTATGGCCAAAGAGGCACTAAAATGGTTCTTCTCTTAACGTGCCCTATCAAGTCCCCTTGACGTTGGCGATTAACATGGCGAAACTGTCTCTGTCTCGAGCTATTCTAAATAGTTGCTCAGCTTTCTTTATTCCTGTCCACTCCTTGATATTCTTCAACCAAGAGGCCTGCTTTCTACCAATTCCTCTGCGTCCTTCGATTTTACCTATCATAATAAGTTGAAAAATATTATATCGGTCTCCCCTTACTACGTGTCCAAAATAGGCCATTTTTCTACATTTGATGTTATCAAGCAGCTCGCGAGCAGCATTTGCTCTCTCAAGGACTTCCACATTTGTCAGCATAGCCGTCCATGGAGTTTTTAGTATACGTGCAGCCACATTTCAAAGGCACCCAGACGATTAATGGTGGATATTTTTAATGTCCATGCTTCGACAACCGTATAAGAGGACTGACCAAATGTAGCATTTAACCATGCGCTTTCGAAGTTGAAGTTGCAAGTCGATATCAACACTTAAATAAAATCAGTTTTGTATGCCAATAAGTGAATTTTATTTACAGACTTTAAGATTTTCTTGCATTTGACGCATTACTTTTTGATTTTAGAATAATTTGATTATTATTTGAATCTCTCTAGAATCTTAGTTAATATTTTAAAGATCTAAACAGTCTTTCTAGTTTCTTTACCATTCTCATTAACTGAAATTGTATATTTCAGATGTCTTCTTTATGTGTGGTAGAATAATAATACATAGTTCAAATATTATCCAGTTAAATTCATTCTTTCATGAGATATATCAATTTTAGAAGGTAGTTTTCTAGTTGTCGTTAATAGACTGTTTGTTTCAGGCCAGCACAAATAGTTCAAGCTTGCATCACCTTGACAATGATACTAAGCTTCTGCCTCGTCTACTACGTACCAACTGAAATTACGTGGAAGAAAATTGAACCTCGCATTTCACAGAAAAGGCAGAACATATACAACGTAATAATGAGAATAGTAACCGTCACTCTCATCATTAGTATCGCCGCCGCTGCTGGGAGCAAAATGAATATCTTAATCGATCTAACGGGCGCCATATTCTTTTCGATTTTAGGAATTTTCGTGCCTGCTGTTGTAGATACCATGATTAATTGGAATGACTGGGGTACTCTTAACTGGATTATGTGGAAAAATTTGTTATTATTTGTAGCCTTTTTGGTTTCAATTATTTCCGGGACTTACAGCGCTATACACAATATTTTAGCTAAAACATAATAAAATGAGACTTAAATATTTGCGTTTTATTTCATACAGTTTATTCAACATACTACAAGTTCTTATGCTTGGTGTATTACATACCTTATGAAAGGTTTTTCCATTTCCAAACTGAGTTTGTGAAATTCCTTTTTATTTGAGTTGCTATTATTATTAGATCTCATGATCGCTTTACAAAATTCTTTTAAAATTCGTTTGTGATGTGAACTATAGTGAAATTCACACTAAGAGTGCAGTATGGTTAAGATAGTAATGCTCATTTGCTGGATTTCACGCTATGTGCTTGGCGGCACAAACATGTCCAAGTAGTGGTGACGTAAAGAACCGTACAAAAATTTTTACGGTGGGGCTCTATTACGACTAAAACTAACTTTTTTGATTTTAATTTATAGATAATGCAAATTAGAATAAAACAAACATTAGATATTTATTATAAAATACATGTAGCTTCAATTATTGTCTTCCAGTAGTCAAATAAGAGGCATGAATTTTAATAAAACGACTTTAATGTTAGCCAGAAATTTTATTTTAGAAGTTGGTACCATATCAAACTAATAAATATATTTTAAATTACATTTTTTGATAGTTATATAGATTGGGACCTCCAGGAACTGAATCGATGGATGAGGAAATAACCATGATTGGTAAAATTTCGATAGGTTAGTTTTTGTAGATTGTTTTTTAGTTATTTACGTTTGAAAAGTGGCTATTTTCATATTTTGGACAGTTGCGACATCCACACTTGCAACAATTTGATTTAGAGTGAAACGGTTTGAACATTACTATTCCAACTACTTTCCATGACCTAGGGAAAGGCTTTCCAACGGGAAAATACCCGATTTCTATGCACCCAGCCCAATACCCGAAAAGTTCGTACTCTGATTGGACTGATAAATACATTTCATTAGTTATAAAATAATCAAGGTTACTCACTCGAAGATATTCAATTATACTAATGTCGCCTTCTACATCCGAGATGTCGGATTCGCTTTCGCTACTCCCCCCTGTGTTCGCGTTGTTGCAGTTTCGCAACTGCATAGAAACATTTGTAAAATATTAAGACTTTTTTTAGTTTTGATTCTCAACAATGAACGGTTGTTAAATAGTTCTTAGAAGACAAAGGACTGTTCTTTCATACGATGTATGTTAGAATAGAAAAATGAATGGCGTTAACAAAATCGCAAATCTTTTTTCACCTTAACAGAATCAGTGCAGGTTTTTGTAATTGATAAAAAATAATTTCTACGTGAGGCATTATTTTATAAAAAATGAATAACCAAATTACAAAATGTCTATCCTAAAGCTTTAATAAATAACCATTTGGGTGATTGATTGACAACCAATTGATGTACTTTGCATCATGTCCATAACTGCAATGAGGTCTTATCTATTTTCATAAACAGTATGAACACCCCGTGATTGAAAATTCCAATGTGTTTAGGAAGATTTTGGCAACCTGCGATTAACTACCTCATTCAAAATTTTTGTTCTTGGAGGAGACGTATAAAAAAATGAGCACAAACCAGATAAAATATCCTAGTCTGCTTATCGATAGAACATGCACCTGTCATAATCAAATTCATTTGGTGTGCGTAGCAATAAACATAATTTGCAAGAGGATATATGTTTACTTGATAATTTTCTACATACAATTTAATCCACCACTCATATCAGATGCGCCATCATAACTTTGAGCAATTAATTTGTTCGGAGTATGTTTTAATAAAGGAATTAAAACATTTAAAATGCATTCAGCGATTGATTTGGCATCATGTCCGTCCAGCACGTAAAATTTCCAAAATCTCTCAACTGGTCGTCCTTTACACAAATATCGAAAAACTATAACTAACTGAAATTCACCAGCAACGTTTGTCGTTTCATCCACAATTAGTTCAACTTAAGGAAAATTTTCAATTTTTTTCCTAATTTCCTTGTGATAAACATCTAACATGCACTTAAGTTCATTTTGAGTTATTTTTGAGGTACCTTTAAAAGATTTGGAACTTCGAATATAAACCGTTAGGTTTATTCCAATTCGTTCCAATTCGGTGATAAAATTTACGAGCTCCTTAAATATGCCTCTATTTTCTAAATTTTCCTCTTCAGAAAATCTTATACAATATAAAGCACGTGGTGTTCGTGTGTATTAAGGTATAAAAAAAGGCGCTTATTAAAAGCTTAAAATTTTTTTATATGGCCACACAATGTTTTTTAAACAACCTTTTTTATGTAAGTAGTAAAAAACCAACTTGTTCTTTTTGTATGTTCAAATTTTAACTTTATTGTTTTTAATATTGGTATTTTTACTCTCTCTTTTAGTAAACTGATGATGGAATGATACAATTCCGAAAAGATCTTCTTATAATAAAAAATTTTAAGCTTTTAATAAGCGCCTTTTTTTATACCTTAATACACACGAACACCACGTGCTTTGTATTCAACAGGTATACTAGCCACTCCTGGATATCTCCACTTCATGGTTTGTTCCAGTTTCACTTTTAAAAACTTATACAATATATAATTTAATTCAAAACATATAGATTCTTATTCACTTGTTAATTGTGTTTAGAAGTATAACGATTATTATTACTCATTATTCATGTAAACTTTAGATTTTGTATGGGATTTCATTTTATCCCATATATGAACAAGAACACACTTGGTTTTTCAATTTTTAAATCAGGTATAGGCCGACCTAGTTGTTTTGTTTTGTCTGTGTAGTTTTGTTTTCTAATGAAAAACCACCAAAAGAGTTTTTTAAGATACTAATTTGATTCATTGTCAATTAATAAATTAAACCTACGAAATAATCAAAATATTATTTATATACTATATTCACCCACGACCATGACGCACTAAAATTTTAATTGTAAATACAAAAACTTAGTAATAGATAATAGACATAATAAAAGCGACAAGCATGTACGTAAAGAAACTCGAAATAAATATATCTTAAAATCTACTAGTAGATCTTCCTTCTTGAGCCTGGCACGATTCTCATTTAACATATTATTAAAAGTCCAGTACAGCTCTATATGTGTCACTTACATAGAATGCTCGTAAAATCTTTCTCTTTTCATACGCGCCAGTACCATAATGGCACAAGATTATCCCGTCGAATAACCTCCGCTGTAGGTAACGGAGGTTGTATCAAGTATACAGTTGCCAGATTTTATATAATTTATGACAAATAGAAATAAACAGAAGAAAATTAACAGGCATTAAGACATTTTAAAGATAAAAACATGTTTCTGCATCTAAATAAGGTAATGCCTCACGGGCCACCACTGTTGCCCGCGACTAGATAACATTTATTTTGGTTCTTCCAATATGATAAGAATAAATCTATGGACGCATACTACCCTAAGTCCTCCTACTGGCTGTCCACATGTTAGATGTTTAAGTTTCCTTTTATTGTATTTTTTCTCAATATTGCAATTCAGAAACCTGAATCAAATTATCATTCATAATGTAAATCTCCCTTTTGCACCTCGCCAAAACGAATGAGAGGTGCCGGTATAGTGCTTTACGAGAATTTAATGGTACTTTAGATTGTGTATCTTTATAGACCTGATGTTAAACTGCTTACAAATAGCTTTACTTCAAAGAAAATCTTTTTCTCAATATGGTACAGTTATTTGCTTTTTTGCTTCACGTTGTAAAAAACACAGGTATGGTTTATATGTTTCCGCCGAAAATGAAAATAAGTCGGTTCTTGTTAAGAGGAAGTTCTTTAAGTGGATTATTCTATTCTAGTTTATCCAATTTGAAAAAAAAAGAGAATCACTTTTCTTTGGTAGTTTAAGAGATTAGACTGACTTTTGGTTGCGTCGTCTAAGAGTTTGAACGTATTTCTTTCTCTGGGAATTTATATATAAGTGTGTAGTATTGTATATCTATTTCAAGTACTTTGATCTAACACCCGAGTAGATCAAAGATACATTATAAATTAATCTCAGTGTTTAATACTAAAGTTGAGTACAGTTTAAATTAGGTGCGAATTAAAAGGCAACATCATCTAGAGTTACTATAAGTGGTCTTACTATTAGTATTAGCTCCAATTATCTCCGAAGCAGAGTAATCTACGGGTTACTATCGACAACATTTTCCTGATCGGTGGTTAAACCTAACTACCGATGCAATCAATTCCTCTAAGGAACAACGATTTCATCAATTGCACTTTTCAGAACTTTCATATCTTTTCATTAACAAATATTAATTACAAACATTCATTATTTAAATAAAAACTGTGTAAGAAGCTCTTGTGAACCAAGTGCGGATTGGTTCTTATTTTAATTTTTGGTAAAACCAATTTTTATAATCTTGTCTCTGTTCTTCTGCAACTTTATTGTAAATTAATTTAGTATTATTTTGTACTTCTTATACACATTTGGAATTTTATTTCCGGAACATAGGATTTTTAAAACAATTACTAAGATTCCCTGATTTGCAATTAAGCAGTGTAAATTTCTATATAACGTCGCGATGTTTTATAACTAATTTATTTTTTCCACTGGATTACCGCTCCTCAGCGGTTTGTAGTAGCGTATGTGGCACGCCGACAGTGTTGCTCCGTCTACCGATTTTTCCTGAAAGTCCGGTTTTGTGCAGATAATAAATAATGTTTTATTAACATCAATTTTGTTTGTGTTCGTTAGGTATTATTTGAGTTATAAAATTTATACTTAAATACAATTATTATTCCAAGTATTGTTTATAATTTCAAATTAAAAAGAGTGCAATATTATTTTATTTTTAAAATTCGTTTTTATTTTTAATTTTAGAAATCTATTTTTTTTTTCAAGCCGTTTTAGCAATAAAACAACATTTTTTTAGTTATAAAATATTTTTAATTCCATATCTATATTTATAAATAAGTACGTTTTCGTTGAATTGACATGCAATCTAGGTATGTTCCGTTTTTACACTTACACTGGCAGCATCGCGACGTTGTATTGAAATTTACACTGGTTAATTGCACATCAAAGGATCCGAGTTATTATATCAAAAATCCTATGTTCCGTAAATCTTTTTCCAAATCTGTATATTATTACTGGCCAATTATCTCGAGATAAGCCTAAAATATTAAGGAAAGGTATTTATATGATCTACTCTTTGGGATATTTTTTTAAAACATCAAGTTCTCGTTAATGTTACGTTTCATTTATTTGTGAATGTGTCTGTCTGTCTATTATATTAAAAGAATATGCATTTTTTACATGTTACGGTAATTTTATTTGTATTTCTTATTTTTGGAATTCACCCGTCCAGTGATTCAGTTATTAAATATATTTTGTTTTGTTTACCTACTAGATTTTATTTATCTACTCCTAATACATTTCCTGATAAAAGAGTATCTCTGAATATTTGCCAATAAAGATATTTAACTATCACGATATCTTCGACCAGGAGAACGATCAGGCTGTATATGTTTGTAGGTAAGTAGGTGGACGAATTTCACCGAACATATCATATATTATTTATTTAGTGTGGAGACCACCTTTATTTAATAATTAATTGTTAATATCTTTTCTTGTATTTGGTCCCAGAACCTAATTATCTCTCCTTATCTCTTTTCGTTTCTAAGGTTTCTTAATTTTCCCCTTCTAACACCAAAAAGTTAAGTGACGCCCTTTTTCTTATCTTCTCTTATTTTTGGTAATTTTACCTATCCCTCTTGTTATATATTTCTCTGTCTATTCTACTCCATCGTATCTTGTCTTAACTTTATTATTTCTTCTTTTGGATCTATTCCTAGTTCCAAAAGCTAGTTTCGAACCCCCGACTCGCTTTCCACCAACCATCTAGCTGCCGTTCCCAGTGTCTCCATTGGTGACATTTTTAGCACCATCCAAAAAAGGTTTCCGAGGTTACAATATAAAATAATATACGTATTTACGTTAAGTTCAGTAACAAACAAGGATAAATAAAATCACAAATTTTGTATTGGTATCATTTTTATTGGTCGAAGTATCCACAGAAATCGGTTTTCTTTTAACAATACAAAATAAAATTCAAATACTATAAAAACATACTAAAACAGATAGTACACCGAGGAAACGTTATTTATAAGAAATAGTACGTAATAATAAATGAGATATTAATGGCATACAAAACACGAAATGGCAATAGTTTCTATAAATCGAAAAATTCGACAATCACAAGAAACCTACACCAGTTATCAAGAAAAATGTCCCTCATTCAACTTCTGATAGTTTATGTATACATTTAATAACACCAGAAGTTAGTTCTTAGATGTTTTTCCACAAATGTGGCGTTATTTTAAGAAAATACTAATTGTTCAAATAATATGCTCACAAACAAAAATGTTATAGTAATTTCTTTCTAAGTATCTGAAAATTACGTCACAACCTGTTCATAATAAGCCAGGTATACTAGGTTTAAAGTATAATTAATAAATACATACTGGTTCATACAGAAATATGATTAAATTACACATAGACATACCAATCTAAGCTGTCGAATTATTCCATTTATAAAGAATCTATCTTAGTTTTGATTAAATATCCGTAAAAAATCTAATTTGTATTCTTAAAATTTAATAAAACTGACCTCAAACTAATCAATGTTCATTAAATTTGCAATGATTTGACTTTTTAAAGCCTATGAAGTGTTCAAATGGTTAAGATTACGAACATTTTTATTCCTACTATGTAAAAAAGTTAATTTATAATAATTTGTCTATTGGCTAGAAATAATAATAAATACAACGCAATTCCTCCATCTTTTTATATGTAGTATATACAAGTCTTGGAACGAAAAGAACATATACAAGGTGATACCTAGTGACGATACAGTTTTAAAAAAACGTAATGAGAATTCAGCTACAATCGTACACATCAATAATTTAGAAAAAGTTCGATTTTTTCTCTTTTGGTGTTGACGAAAATATACATGAACATAATGCGATTCAATCCAATCGCTATTTATTCTTTTCTAACTTTCCTCTTTCTCGTACCATCTCCTGAAGGTTGGTTCTTTTCGCCCTAAAAAGATAATATTGATATGAAATACAAAACGTTTGCTGTAAATATAAAATTATGTTTGCACTAGAAAGTTGGAGGGGAAAATTTCCCTGGCCGAAATAATTGTACTTTATTTTTTGTTTGTAGCAATTATTGTAGAATTTATTTTTAATATTTTCAAAACTGAAAAGTCAAAGTGAAATTATTAAATGTTGTTTAACGAAACTGCTATTCAAATCCGAAAGTGGCCAAATTAGCCTTGGGTTTGTTTTATAGTTTTCACGGACAGCTATCGCTTTTTATTTCAAGAATCCTGTCAATTAGATGAATATTTATTGTATTTACGTGTGTTTCCAGGTCGCTATTGTATTTACGTAGTTTTAATGCAGAATAGAAATTGTTAAATCGCTAGATCAGTCTTTAATAGAATGCGCAAACTCTTTTGCAATCGTGATATCAATATAAAGTTACGAATACGAATGCTGCGGTGTTATGTCTTTTCTACCCTGTTATATGGAGTTGAGGCTTGGACACTAAAACAGTTGACCATAAAAAACATCGAAGCTTTCGAGATGTGGTGCTATAGGCGCATTCTCAGAATATCATGGATGGACCGCGTCACTAACACGCAAGTACTCCAAACTTTAGACAAAAGATGCGAAATTCTAAATGAGATAAAAACTAGAAAGATGGAATACTTGGGGCACATTGTGAGAGGTGAAAAGTACGAACTTTTAAGAAACATCATGCAGGGCAAAATTAAGGGCAAAAGAAGTGTGGGAAGAAGAAAAATATCGTGGCTTCGTAATCTACGTGAATGGTTCGGGTGTAGTTCGATTGAACTTTTCAGGCGCGCTGCTAACAAAGTCGCAGTGGCCATGATGATTTCCAATCTCCGCTAGGAGTGGCACGAGAAGAAGAAGAAGTTTTAATGCACCTAGATTTCTAAGCATTTCCCTTTGTGTAAAGTTTATTGTTATTGTTTATTCGTAAAGGATCGTGGCAATTGTAACTCTGTCTTTGTATCTATTCCTATCAAAGTCAGAAAAAGACTTTCAAGAAAATAACGAGTCAAAACATGAAGGACACGTACCCCCCACCAAATAAGGATTTAAATGATTAAGATTAGCTAGAAATTTTTTCTATATCGAGCCTCCAAACTATGCAAGTACTGCTTTTGTGATAACGAAACACAGCTAATCTGTTTGTAAACGGAAATACATGTGTCCTTAGTCGTAAGGGAAAAAGAGCGCAGAAGAGAAATATCAAACCCAGACAGCCAAAAAGGGAACGTTGGAACAACATGGAAAATTACTGATTTTTGATCAGCAAAAGCATCTTCCAGCAAAGTTTCTAGAAATAATAAATCCTTCTAAATCATCATTATTCGTTAAACAAATAAAAAGGGAACACTGGCAGAGCTTCTTAAAACAGATGGAACACGACTTCTACGGAACACAAAAAGAATTATGGAGAATAATCAGAGGACAAAGAAAAGGGATGAATGAACTAATAAAAACGAAACACAAATAAATATTGAGGAGAAAGAGGTAAAGGAAGCATTAAGGAAATTAAAAAATAGAAAATTACCAGGAGAGGACAGAATACCGAAAGAACTCCTAAAGTACGGAGGACCAGATCTGACCAAATATATTAAAACTAATCCAAAAAAATAATAGAACAAAACAGAATTCCTCAAGAATGAAAAACAAGCATCCTAATACATCTCTTCTTCAATAATCTACTATTTTGCCAATAGAACTTTATCAAAGAGATTTGATAACTACAAGTTGAAAAATAGTTGCACACCCAGACAATTTGTACATCTAAACTTATTCATTGTCATAAAACTGTCACCTTCATAAAACAATTACTCAATAAATAACACACATTTCATAAATATATCTCTCGAATAAGTATAAATAACTTTTAATAATATAATAGTATATTACATCACTTTCATTTAACAAACAATCATACACATATCTCTGCTTCATTGGATCAAATCTATCTCCTCAAGAACTTCCCGTTTACTGTCATACAACTACAATAGCAGAATTGAGTTCTCCATTCAACAATACATAGTAGTTTCAACCATGTTCTACCATCCATCAATTAATAGAGTACCGGCATGTAAGTAATGTTTATTTATTTGCTCATTTATTAATTTATTACAATCTAATAGACTATTTTATAACAATTTGTGGGCCTTACCTTGTCTGTTTAAACTTTTAAAACTTTTATACCTTTTTATTCAACTTACTCTTTTTGAAATAAAACCACAGACATGTAATATTGGCATAATTATTGTAATTTCCAACATCTACTTTGTTTATCTTTATTAGACAACACCCTAATATGGGTTTTTATCATTTCAGCATTTATTTAACTTTGTATCGAGACCTGAAGATGCTTTGCATATTGTAGAAAGCGAAACCGGTAGTCTGATAGTTAAATTAAATTGATTGTGAGTAAGTCTTATTTATTATTTCTTTACCTATTTGAAGATGATTTATTTACAACGTATCCTGCACGAATTTAATATAACCGCCAGAAAATTTAACATGTTAATTTCCTCAAAAAAGTCAAAATGCATGGTTACAACTGCAAATTTACTAAGATATAAATTGGAGCTGGAAGGTCAGATAATAGAACAAGTGATGGAGTTTAAATATCTAGGCATCACATTATCTAGCTACGGAAAGCTCGAAACTAAAGTGGAAGATCAAGTGAATAGACCAAACAGAGCCGCAGGCTGCCTGAATGGAACAATATGGAGAAATAAAAATATCGAGAAAGAAATGAAACGCAGAATTTACAAAACAGTCATCAGACCAATAATGACATACGAGGCAGAAACAAGACCCGACGAGAGGACAACAAGAATGTTAAAAACAGCAGAGATAAAAACACTTCAAAAAATTAATAGTAAAACACTATTGGGCAGAGCTAGAAGTACAGATATACGACATAGATGCAAGATGGAGAACATCAAGCACTGGGTAAGAAAGAGAAGAATAGAATGGAACAATCATATAAGCCGAATAACATCAAATAGAGTAGTTAAGACGGCAATATACGGCTCTCCAATAAGAAGACGACCAGTAGGAAGACCACGTAAACGATGGAACGACACTGGACGCCCATTGAAAAACAGACAAAGTCATGTTCATATAAAAAGAAGAAGAAATTATCATTACCTCTGCGAACATTCGCTGCAGACATGTTGTGAACAGTCAAGTTGGTTAAGTTAAGTGTCAAGTTAGCTTATCCGAAGAATCTAAACGCTTGTCTGGTGAGCTGTCCAAGGTATGCGCAGCATTCTTCTTCAAACCACCTCTCAAAGGCAGTAATTTTTTGGCGTTCATGTACGCGAAGAGCCAAAATTTCTGCCACGTATACAAATATTGAGTATAGACGTGCATTACCAGTCTAATCTTAGATTTTTTGAGAGATAAACCGGTCAGCCTTTCCAAACTTTAGTTAGACGACTCACGCATTTTTTTACATACCAATGCGTTTTCGAACTTTTACTTCGCAGTTGCCGTCGTTAGTTAGTTGAAGCTGTCTGCTTTCTGGTATTTCTGTAACGGTTAGTCAGCTGAATAGTGTTGAATCTGTTTACCACCATTAATTACATACTTTCCTTTATTAATTTCAGACCAATTTTATTGCTTTCCCACTCAAATCTTTGCAAGAGATCTAGCATTTCTTGATTATGTACCGCTATAAGTGTAGTGTCATCATTAAATCTTAAATATTTTTCTATCTGTCACCATTACTCCACCGACATATATTTTTAAATCCATTATATCACACGTTCACAATAAATATTGAAAAGGTGAAGGTAAAAAGACACATCCTTTTCAAACCCCTCTCTCTGCACAGAATTGGTTTGAGAACTTCTTATCTAATCATACTGTCGCCATATTGGCCTGGTACAGATTTTTAATAAGTGTCACCAGGCGTATCGATGACACTTATTAATAGAGTAATTGATAAAAAAAAATGGTACAACTCCGAAGTCACTCTACTATTCAAGAAAGGAGTCAAAGCAAACATCGAGAATTATCAATAAATATCCTTACTATCACATCTGTATAAATTACTAACTAAAATCATAACCAACCGCCTAACACATAAGCTCGTTTTCTATCAATCTATCGAGCAGGCTGGATTCAGAAAACATTTTAGTACCATAGACCACTTACACACCGTAAGAACACTGATAGGAAAATGCACCGAGTATAATGTTCCAATTCATATGGCGTTCGTCGATTTCCATAAAGCAATTGATTCCATCGAATTATGGGCAGTGCTCGAATCTCGAGAAAATGCACGTATAGATTCAAAATATACTAACGTAATTAAAAACATATATGAAAATGCCACCATGCAAATAAAGCTGAACGAAAGCACAAAAACTAATCCCATAAGACCACAACGGGGAGTAAGACAAGGAGACACCATCTCTCCCAAACTATTTACCCTTGCTCTAGAAGACATTTTTTAAGAAACTAGAATGGAACAACAAGGGTATCAACGTCGACGGATCATACTTAAACCACTTGAGATTCGCAGATGACATAGTTTTAATAGCCGATAATATCCAAGAACTAAATGATATGTTATAACAATTGCAGTTTCAGGAGCTTAAAAATGAACTACAGTAAAACAAAAATACTGAGCCAAGACCAGACAAATATAACAATACAAAATCATACCATAGAAAATGTCAAATATTAAGTATATCTAGGCCATGTCATCAAACTAGGAAAACCAAATCGAGAGGCTGAAATTAAAAGAAGAACACAACTGGCATGGAGCGCTTTCGGCAAACTAGCATATATCTTGAAAAACACCTCGATTCCTGTAAACTTGAAGAAAAAGGTATATGACACATACATACTACCTGTTTGTACCTACGGCTTGGAAACAGTCGCCCTTGCCAAAAAATCTGCTAAAAAATTAGAAATAACGCAAAGACTAATGGAACGAATCATGCTTGTAATATCACTGAGAGGCAAGATTGGAAACACCGAGATAAGACGTAGAACGAAGATTAGGGATATTGTAGAAAAAATTACAAAAATGAAATGTCGGGTCACGTAGCCCCATATAATGACAACAGGTGTGGACACGGAGAATTCTAGAGTGGAGACCAAGGACGACAGCCAGAAGCATGGGAAGACCTCAAAAAAGATGGGTAGATGACATAAGAGCAGTGGCAGGCAAACAGTGGATTAAATTGACGTAAGATAGAGGAAGATGGAAGCAATTGGGAGAGACCTAAATTCAGCAGTGGACAAAGGAATGGTTGACAAAGAGAGGTGTATCGGTGTACCAATCTCTATTAAAATGGATCAAAAATTTATTTAGCTCACACAAACGAATGCCTGCGGTAGACAACAAAGCATATTGTCAAAAATAGATTTTGTCATATATGTAATTGAATGGGTTACTGTAAATCATGTTGATGACCGGTTTGACTAGTCCGAAGGGCCTCACTTGTTCTTCATGTCGGCTCTAGGATATATTTATATTTCTCTGTATTGACTGAACAACTTCATTTATAATCAACGGTACTAATATTGAATTGTACAACAAAAACCAAAAAGTGAATCAATTTATCCAAAATGAATGATAAATTGGTTGTCACAGACCACGAAAGTCACAGTTAAAAATTCAGAATGAAAATATAAAACGAAGCATTAATTTATAAAATAAACAATAGAAGACTTACCTCTTCCGGCTCCGCAGTTTCATTTTCTGAATCAGGTTCAGAATTTTTCTCTTGTTCTTCGTCGTCGCCTTCCTCCTCTTCGCCTTCGGGAGCTTCATTCTCTTCCTCGACTGCCTCAGTCAATTCATCAGTCTTTTTTGTTTCTGCCGCTTTAATGAGCTCCTCTCTTTCCTACAAGTATTGTACAAGCTCAATATTAGCTCAAGAGTTTCTAACAACTACTGATTACACAAAAAAAAAGACTTAAAACAAAAGTATCTTTTTCCAAAACTAATAAAGTTTTAACAATAAAACGTTTGTTGAGTAAAGATACCTTTTTTAAGAAATTTTATTTGGTATACTACTTTACCTGTGTTTGACTAGCAGAGGAACTGGGTTTGCAGCAAAGGTACAAAATAAATATTACAGGTACAGCAAGGACAAGAATGTAAACCGCCCATAGGAATGGATATTCGTTAGTAAGGCTAGCTAACCTTTGAACAAAGCTTTCCTGGCAAAATAAAAAACAATGTTACAATACTAGCATAAACTTAATAATAAGGTATGTCTGATTTATTTAACTATAATTTTAATTTTTGTTTTGCTCTGTACGAGTTTTACGAGTAATTTTTTTGAACAATTTCATGCATTTTCGTAGATGTACGAAAGACCCTATGAAAAAAATATACAAAGGTCTGTAGGCTAAACGGCCGGTGTTTTCTGATGGTTTTCCATATTTACAGGTCGCGGTCTGGAATTATTTGCGGTAGGAAATACGGAATATATTTCTAGTAAACGTCCAAACAGAGTGAACCGCAATATTTGTTTGACCCGTGGACCGAGCTAAAAAATACCCCTTTTAACTGCCGCCCGCAATAAACTTCTGTTTAATCTACCGACCGACAATGTGTTGACGGAAATTTACAATTTATGATTCATAAGTATCAGTGTAGGGGTTTGACCATTCGCACCTAATAAACTACTTAACCCTTAACTGGTATGGCAGGGTCAAATTTGACCCTATTGGAAATTCTTTTGTAATTTTCGGAAAAACTAGGCGATATGGCAACATACCATTTGAGGTATTCTTTCAAGGCGTGCAACTGCTTCAGTTCCGCTATCAGTCGCCCGCAAGCAATTAGTGGCTCCACGTGAATATTGTGAATTGGGTCAGATTTGACCCTGCCATACCGTTAAAGGATAATTTCTCGTTTTCGGGTAAGAAGCACAATACTGTTATTTTTCCAGAAAAAAATACAATTTTGTTTGTTCTTTCAATTTAGAGTTGTGATCGAAGTATAATATGTCGAACGTGCGTGACAAAAGGGCGCCTTTGACACAAAAGGAAATTGAACATATTGCTGAAACTTTATGGGATACCGACAACGACCTTTCCGATGCAGAGACGATTGTTAGTGATCACGATACGGATAGTGACTACAATGCTGATAGTGAGAGTGAAGATGAAGCTGTTGATGGCAGTGATAGGCACTCTGTCGAAGAAGTTAGCTTATCTGTTGAAAGTGAAATTGTTGGGGATGAAAGTGGCTATTTCTACGGAAAAAATAGAAAAAAGTGGGCGAAAACGCCACCTGCGTCTAGCCGTACTCGCGTCACCAACATAGTGTCGCATATTCCTGGCCTTTCGGGACCATGTCGGACCAATAAGCCAACTACACCCTTGCAGGCGCTCAGTTTTTTTCTCGATGGATACATTATAAATGAAGTTATCGCAAGAACGAATGAGAAAATAACTGAACTGCAGGCAACCTATGGCGATCAGGCCTTGTCATGTCAGTTTATTAATCATGTCGATGAAGTAGAAATGCGAGCATTTCTCGGTCTTCTCTATCTAGCTGGAGTGTTCAAGTCGAGTCACGAGGACATAAATTCGCTTTTTGCAACAGATGGAACAGGTCGTGACATTTTTCGTGCAACAATGACTCTAAAGAGATTCAGTTTCCTGCTAACAGCCTTAAGATTTGACAATCCAGCCACTAGACGACAACGTATTGAAGACGGAGATAAACTTGCTGCAATTTCAAATTTGTTTTACAGATTTATTGGAAACTGTAAGATAAACTATTCTTGTGGGGAATACGTAACCGTGGACGAAATGTTGGTTGGATTTCGGGGAAAGTGTAGGTTCCGTATGTTTATAAAAAGCAAGCCTGTGAAATACGGACTAAAAATATTGTGTTTGTGTGACGCTCGTACACATTATTTGATCAATGCTTTTGTATATACGGGCAAAGATGAAAATAGGGCAAATCCAAAGAAGCTATCTATTCCAACCCAAACTGTGCTAACTTTGATTGAACCAATAGCAAATTCGAACCGTAATATTACAGGGGACAATTGGTTCACGTCACTAGAGCTGGTTGAAGAATTGCAACGCCAAAACTTGACATACGTAGGTACTATTAGACGGAATAAAAGGGAGTTACCTAAAGAGTTCCTAGCTAGTAAGCAACGTGAACCACTTTCCTCGCTTTTTGGATTTACTAAGGATATAACAATTGCGTCATACGTTCCAAAAAGAAATCGCTCAGTTTGCATGATGTCTACAATGCACCATAATAACATGGTCGAAGAAGGAGCAAAGAAATTACCAGACATCATCTCCTTTTATAACCTAACGAAAGTTGGCGTTGATGTACTGGACCAAATTTGTGCCAATTACAAAGTAGGAAGACGTACTCGGCGTTGGCCTCTAACTTTGTGGTACCGAATGATGGACATCTCCGCCGCAAATGCAGGCATAATTTATAATGCTGCTAATCCAAATAATGAGATGGTTCGTAACCGTTTCCTTATTGATTTAGGGAGAGAAATGATCAACGAACACTTAGTTCGAAGAAGTCAAATGAAAAACATTCCTCGGGAATTGAAGGTAACCATAAGGCGAATCAGCAATATCCCAGATGAGGCCCCACGAAGCATAGATAACCCTCAACGTCGACAACCTAAGCGTGCCAGATGCTTCTTATGCCCTTACAGTGACAACAAACATCCAATTGTATGTGACGAGTGTAGCAGGCATATTTGCAAAGACCATTGCAAAACGTCCAACATGTGTACAAATTGCTCCGAACAATAAAATACTGCGCAAAATGTAGTTGTCAGAATTTTTGTTTATTATGTTTTTTCATGTTTTTAAGTATTTTTCCCTAGGTTTAGGTTTGTTTTGATTAAAACAATTCCGTTTAAAATTATTTTTAATTTTTTCTCTATTTTTTTTTACAGATAAGAAAAGCCATGTTAATTTTTATAAGTTTAGCCAGAAGTAGGCCAGATATTATTAAAAAGTATATGTAAACATTATTATTTATAATAAAAAGGATTTATATTCGATCTGAATGAAAATTTTTCTGTTTTCTATTTGCTGCATGCAAAAAAAGGCACAGGGTCAAATCTGACCCCGCCATACTTTAAGTGTAATTTTAAATCACCATACCAGTTAAGGGTTAAAGAGAGTTAAAAACATGACAAATGAAACAAATTTCACCAGAATTTCATTTCACAGTTGTTTTTGTCGTAGATGTTTATCGTTTGTTTCCTGATTGTGTTTTCGCGTCTTGAAAGTTGTGTTGTAGATTACAAAGTCACATAGATTTCACACTATAACTGCTAAAAGAAAAGCATTTAGTTTAGAAGAAAAAATGAAAATCCTTTAAGATTATTATTTATCGTATGGCAATTACAACACATTTAGAACAAAATTACTAACACTTTTGGTTTACAGGTTTGTAATTTTGTAATCCTTAAAGATGTTGAAAACGGTAAGAAGAAAGCATAAGTTTGTAACGAAAGGGGAATTTCAAGTTCCACTCTATCTACCATGCTGAAAAATAAACACAAGATTTTCGAGGCAGGTCCGTCTTTTTCCGGTAAACCGAATAAACTACGTGTCACAACTAATAAAGAAGTCGATACTGCAATGATCAAATGGTTTATTGTAAACAGAGCTACGAATGTTTCAATAAGTGGACCACTGCTTCAAGAAAAAGCAACACAGTTTTCGCAGGCGCTAGGGGGTGATGAGAATTTTAAAGCATCGAGTGGATGGATGAGCCGTTTTAAGGCCAGGCACGGAATTAGATAGGTAGAAGAAATCCCCGATAACTGGTTAAAGTCATGGCATACAATAAAACAAAACTACAGTGACGATAATGATTTCAATGCCAACAAGCTGTGACTTTTTTAAAACTTCAGATAAGACCCTCAAATTCAAAAATGAACGTTGTATAGGTGGCAAGTTACCAAAAGAAAGGGTAACTATACTCGCGTGTGCCAATATGTCCAGTTCCGAAAAAATGAAGTTAGTCGTCATTGGGAAATCTCAAAGATCACGATGTTTCAGAGGTGTGAATCAGCTTCCTGTCACATATAAATTTAATAAAAAATCGTAGATGACAGAAGAGATTTTTAGTGGAGAACTTTTGAAGTGGGACAGAGAGTTGGGACATCGAAAGATTCTTTTAATTGTTGACAATTGTACATCCCATCCAAAAGTTAACGGTTTAAAAAACATTCAACTTCTTTTTTTGGCTCCAAATTGCACATCTGTTCTGCAACCGATGGAACAGGGCATCATAAGGTATCTTAAGGTTCACTACAGAAAACTTAGTTAAGCGGATCCTGAATAGTGTGGAAAACCGTAGTGAATCCCCTGTTACTTTATTAGATGCCATAAATTTCATCCACAAAGCATAGACACTCGTAAATAAAAAAAAAACATCAGAAAATGTTTCGGTCATGCGGGGTGAATAGAGACTGAGGTAGAAAACGAATATCCTGTAGCAAAGTGGTTGAGGTTACAACAGCAAGGTCAAGAACTAACCCAACTAGACAATAATCACGAGTTTGCTGAATTCATTGCCATTGATGATGACGTCATTGTTTGTCATCGTCCGACGGATGGTGAAATTATCGCGGAAGTAATAAATCCGCCGGCGAAGCGCGTTATCGTCAGTGACGAAAGTGATGAAGATGAAGACAATTGCGGTGAATCTACGCAAGAAGGTCCTAATGGACAATATGTGGAAAGTGCTTTAAACGTTGTAAGAAACTTTATCCAGAGACAAAACGCAAATGAAGAAGCATACAACTGTTTCCTATCTTTAGAAAATATGATAGATAGAATGATACTAAACAATTTAAAGCATTCACAAATGACAGACTTCTGCCAATTTCAGAAGCAATAGTTTATGTTATCCTTGAAAATACGCTTTATACATTGAATTATTATAGATGGAAACAAATGTAAGTACAGATTTTCTGTTTTAAAGTATATCATTGACAATAAAAGTAAACAACTTTTTTTGTTTTAATGTATTTCATTGACAATAAAAGTAAATAACTTTTTTTAACAAACACGATTTTCTGAAAAAGAAGAGGCAAAAGGAATTATTTTATGAAGTAGAAGAGATATTATATATCACATATATATTGAAACATACATTATTGACGATGAATTGCCTTTATTAGTAGATTTGTAGTTATCTAAGG